TTAGGAGGAAAGAGCAATCAGACCAGCTTGAGATTCTGTTCCCAGTTATTGCCAGTAGCCCACAGATACACACAACGATGTGGAGCTCAACATTTCACAGCCATTGGACAGGAACATCTAAAGAAATCATGTTGGGAGTAGACACACAAATGAGGCACATGAAGCCTAGTGACTTTCAGGACACAGTGACTTAAACTCAAGTTACCTTGCAATGAAATTCGTGCACTGCAAGGTCCCTCCCAGCTCTCCCCAGGTGTGCAGCCCCCACCCTGAAAAATAAACCCTCTTTGTTTGACACAGTCCTGTAGCCTCTGACTGTTCCCGTTCTGTGACTGCTCCAGACCTCCTGAACTCACCCACAGATAGTCTCCATCCACCACCACGGCAAATTTGAGCTTCCTGAGGCGGATGAGGCTGGGAGGGACCCCGGAGATTTCGGTCATGCAGCGAACCACCCCTGCCATCTGCCCACACAGCAACTCCTGCTGCTCTGGGAGGGTCTGCCCAGGGAGACAGGGAGGAGAAGCTTTAGTTTCCCTTTAAAAGAACTTGGAAAAAAATCACTGCTGTAATCAGGTATAAATAAAAATTAATTAGCAATTCAGTTATACAGAAAGAATTGTAAAGCATTGGAACAGGCTGCCCAGGGCAGTGGTGGAGTCACCATCCCTGGAAGTGTTCAGAAAACATGTGGAAGTGGCACGTGGGGACATGGTTAGTGGTGAAGGTGGTGCTGGGTTGATGGTTGGACTTGATCTTTTCCAACCTTAATGACTCTGTGATTCTATGAATCAAACACAGTAGCACAGGCATATTTCTGGGAGAAAAGAACTGTATTGCTTTTTCCAGGCAGCACAAGGGCCTGGACCTTATGGAGGGGAACTTTCATCTCTCATGTGTGTTTATATACATCACCAGGACAGACCTGGACTGTGCTGGACCATTCCACAGTGGGGGAGCAGAGTGTAACCCCACTGCTGTGTCCCGAGCCAGGTGGAGCCCAGCTCCACTCCACCTGGAGTTAATTGTACAGGATTTCTTAAAACTTTTGTGAATACTAAATAGGGATTAATCTGAATCTCCACCCGGGAACCAAACCATTCCTGATCCAGAACTATCAGCCCTGACCCACAATACCCCTTTACAGGTACTGAAATGAGAGCAGACATTACCTGAGAAGGGTAAAAGTAACAGATCCCAGCACTTGTAGGATCTCCTTCCTCCTTCACCTTTGAGCCGTCGTAAAGGAAAAAGTAATTCCACCTAAAAAAGCAAAGCAGTACCAGGAATTATTTTGTATTTGAAAACTGTTGCACTTCTCTGTCTCCTTTCTATTAGTTCAAGAAGAGCAACTAAAGGTTATTACAAACGGAGAGAGACATTGTTCTTGCACAATCACACTAAGTTTACACCCAAAAGCAGCACCAAGTGTCCCTTACAACTAAATTTGACCTTTTTTGTGGGCTTAAAATAGGTTCTATAACTCAGCAGCTCAGACAGGTGGAAAAGGATATGGACTTGTGAGATATTCTACCTGAGTCCAGGGAGTAATTGTCATTGAGCATTATCCACGTGCATTCTAAACAATTCCTGGGACCTGCTACTATTAATTCAGTTGCTGCCTGCACCCGACAGCCCTCGAGGAGCATGAGACAGAGAGTTCCCTCGGAAGACAAAATGTTATTCCACTCCAAACTTTTTGATTCACATATTCATAACACTTTTTGTCCTCTCCTGTCGTCACATCTCGGGACAAGCTTCCCCCAGGAGTATTCCAGCAGGAACAGCCCAGGTCTGGGGCAAAGGCAAAAGACGGCTCCAAAGTGGTACCGAGGAACCCGGGAACCCGCGTTACGGCCGGGCCAGGAGCAGGAGGCTGGATCCGTTCCCGGGGCGCCTCTCCATGGCCCTGGAATGACTCCGGGAGAGGGACGGAGCTGCTGAGCCCCTGCTGGGTTCCCGACCACGGGACGGGCTCTCCGCTCCGCGACCGGTGACCGTACCCACGGTCCGGCCAGCAAAGGGCCGAAGTGCCTTCCCGGGACACCCGCCACGCGTGTCCGGCGGTGTCCGGGCGGTACGGACGGGAGGGGAAGGGGCTCACTCACCACGGCGCGGGGCCGGGCTCGGTGGGCCGGGACATGGCTGCGGGCGGCTCCGGGATGCACCGGGATGCTCCGGGCGGTTCCGGGATGCTCCGGGACCCCGCGCTCCCTCCCGCCGCCGGTTCCGGGCGCGCCCCCGCCGGTCCCGTGACCGCCGCACGTGACCGCGCATGGCGGCGCCGGGCGGGTGGCGCGCGGCGCGCGCGCGGCGGCGGCGGCGGGGCCGGGACCGGGGAAAGGAGGAGGAGGAGGAGGAGGAAGGCGGTGCCGGCACCGAAGCGGTGCTGCGGCGGCTGCGGGAGGCGCGGTGAGTGCCCGGCCCCGGTCCCGGTCCGTGTGTCCCCTCCAGCCCCGGGGCTGCCGCGCCCCGCTGACACCGCGCTCTCCCCGCAGGGACGATCTGCTGAGCTCCGGCTTCTGGGCGGCGAGCGCCGGTGAGTGCGGGGAGCGGGAGGGGAGAGCGGGGGGAACGGGAGGTGCGGGGGCAGCGCGGTGACGGAGGGCGGCGAGAAGAGGCCCCGTCCCCGCCGCGCTGACCGCGCTCTCCGCGCCCGCAGGAGCCGTGCGGGCCCCGCTGAGCGGCCCCGCCGAGCCGCCCGCCCGCTGCGTCTGCTACGGGCTGGGCCGGTTCGCCGCCTGCCCCGCCGCCCGGTACCAGCTCGCCTTCCTGCTGCTGCTGCTGGAGGAGCTGCGGGTAAGCACCGGGGCCGGGGAACACGGGGGGCACCCCCCGGGCCGGCCCCCGCCCACGCCGCCCCTCTGCCCCGCAGGTGCCGCCCGCCCGGTGCGCCCTGTTCGACCCGGCCTTCTCTGCGCGGGAGGCGGCGGCGCTGGGAGCGCTGGGGCTGCGGCTGCTCCCGGAGAATGAGGTGAGCGGGACTCCCGGCTCGGCCGCCGGGACTCCCGGGGCCAGACCCCCTCGGGACCCCGCGGCCAGGGCTCAGCAGTGACGGGAGACGCCGGTTCTCGGGCAGGAGGGGAAACACGGCGTGGGGGACTCGGCCACGCTGTTCTACATGGTGCACTGCGGGAAGGCCTTGTACAACAACCTGCTGTGGAGCAACTGGAGCCCAGCGGCACTCTCCAAACTGGTCATCATCGGGAACAGCTTCCGAGGGATCGAGGAGAGGTCTGTGCATGCCCCGGAGACGCTCTGATGCCTCCAACCCCACTTTCCTCTCCTCCCTCCCTCTACTCCTTATATTCCTTGTGACAGCAAGGTCCCTGTTTTGCTCATTTTCGTTGCCATCAGTTTTACAGTCATGAGCCCTCTTTCCCCTTCTCTGTTCCACCTCCCTGTACAGAAAACCCACCTCACAGGAACCTTGTGTCTAACATGGGCACATTCTGTTATTCCAGATTGCTGTCCAGAATACTGGAGAGAGATTATTCTTACATAGCAAAGGTATGAGGCAATAGTTTAACATTATTGTTTTGTGTTGACAAAGCACCTTTAATGAGAAAGAAAATGAACTGCAGTTGGAAAGAAGAGGGTGGTTGTTTTTAAAACCTTTTTCCTGGACACTGCAATATAAAAACTAATTGCCTTAGGATTGTTCAACATCTGCAGAACACTCTGCACACAGGGGCTGGGGGTAACATACACCATCCTCACTGACCCAGCTTTGTAGAAAGGGACTTCTGCGTCATCTATAACTCTTTTCCCAAATGCTCTTTAGGTCTTGAAAGGGACGGAGGAAGTGGCGCTCCCGAGTCACCCCCGCTACCTGGACACCTTCAACGACACCTCCGTCCACTGGTTTCCCTTGGACAAACTGCAGGAACTCTGCCCCGAGGTCTGGAACTTTGTGGAAGAGCCAACGTACCAAGATTGCGAGGACCTGGAGATCATCAGGAATCAGGACAGAGCTGCTTCCGAGTCCTGACTGCTCCCTGTGTCAGGAGGGCTCGAATCCATATCTCTTCCCGTGGAAGCTTCTGCACAGCTGAGATGAAGCTCAAGAGTGACACTGACATCAGGCTCTGCCAAAAGTGGCAGCACCTGAACGCTGAGGTGATGGGACATTTTTGTATCTTATTTAATAAAATGTAAATGTAAAATTTAATAAAATAAAATTTAATAAAATGTAAAGCTGAGCTTTGACTTGCACTCACTGAACTACAGCAAACTAATTCCCCTAAAACCTGCCTTTAGAACCATCTGTACTGCAGTGAGTGCTCTTTGATTCTCTCCCCTTGCATGAACAATTCAAGGCCTTTGCACATACTACTCACACCTCAAAGCATGAGGAAGAGGGAATTATCTGAGAGGAATTAGCAGCTGGAGCTGTTGGTATCTAGTTCCCAGTGCAGGCTTGTAAAAGCTCCGAGAGCTGCTCAGTGCTGCTGAGTTCAGTTCTCCATCTGTTCAGTGAACAACCAGGTCAGCTCCCTCCAGGGACAAAAGCCTCGGGTTTCCTCCCTCACCTCTGTGTGCCCTGAACCACTGTGGTCCCAAAGCACCTTCTGTGAGTTTGCTGGGAGAAATCCCCCTGCTCCAGCTCTGCACTGACAGGGCAGAGGGAGCACAGGCACCAGGCTGAGGGAGAGAGGTGGGACAGGTCCTGGCTGCATGTGGCAAAGAGGAGCCCACTGTGTGAGGGGCATGGGGACAGCAACTCACTGCCAGTGCAGTGCACAGGCAGCAGAAGCTGTGACATCTGTCACTGGATACCCTTGGGACTCAGCTAGACCAGCCCTTGCTCATCTCTGGGATCAGGGAATCACCTCCCATGTTCCCTTCTAACCTGCTGCTGAACCTCTGTCACGGGTGGCAATTGCACATGTGTTGGAACTCCTTTTTCCTCCCTCAGCCTGGGTTTCCAGATCGGGAAACCTGCTCTCAACACTGCCTGAACAGCTCTTCCAGAACAGAAAACCATTCTGGCATACAGCTTCAGTTTCACTATTTACAAACCTGTAACTTCTTTATTCTAAGAGTTACACTGAAGCTATTCTCCGGGAAGGTCTCTGGGTCCCCAGCAGGGCCTCACTTGGCCATGTCGATGAGGCTCTGGAGGGAGGTGGGCACCCACGTCTTCTCCCCCTGCACGAACACCACGCCCCTGTCGATGTAGATGACGATCCGGCCGAACGTGTACAGCTGCTTCCCCTCGTGCCGCTTCCCGATCACAGGCATGAACACAATGTTGTGCTCCTCGGCCTTGGTCTGGATGAGGTCCTTGAAGTTCATGGGCACGGAGCTGGCAGCCACGCCGATGCCACGCTGGGCCATGTTCTCGGCCTCCCGCCGCTCCTGCATGGCCTCGTACTGGAAGTCCTTGCGCCGCTCTGTGTGTGTCAGGTAGGCGATGTTCTCCCGGGCCCCCGGCTGCATGTACCCCCCTGTGGGAGACAGGACAGTGAGAACAGGGTCCTGGTCTGTTCCCAGTGCAAGGTCTGTGGGTAACTCTGTCCAGGACACATAGACATCAACACATCTGGAGTGCTGTGTTCAATTCTGGGCTCCACAGTTCAAGACAACTGCTGGGGAGGGTCCAGCAGAGGCTACAAAGATGATTTGGGGTCTGGAGCATCTCCCTTATGAAGAGACTGTGGGAGCTGTGCCTGGTTAGTCTGGAGGAGACTGAGAGGGGACCTTATCAATCCACACAAATATCTCCAAGGGGTGTGAGGATGGTGCCAGACTCTGTTCAGTGGTGCCCAGTGATAGGACAAGGAGCAATGGCCATAAACTAGAACACAGACATTTCCTCTTAACTTGAGGAAGAACTTTCCATGGATGGTGGCAGAGCACTGGAACAGGCTGCCCAGGGAGGGTGTGGAGTCTCCCTCTCTGGAGACATTCCAAGCCCACCTGGATAAGTTCCTGAGCCACCTATGACTGTCACACCATACAGCAAGAAGGCAAGAGGAGCTCAGGATAGGATATCTCAGTCTTTGATAGAGGGCAAATTCCAGGTGCTGCTCCCTCAGGCATGGCCTTCCCTTTTATACAGTGTAATTCCCTGTGAAGTCCCAACAATCTCTTTTAGGTCACAGGGAGAGTCATGTGGAAGGAGAGGGCACTGTTCTAAAGCTAAGGAAAAGAACCAGTAATCTCACTGTAAGGGGAAAAAAAGCCAGTAAGTTACAGTTTTAGAACTCAACCCATAAACGAGGGTGTCTGACAGGAAATCCACTGTAACAGGGCAAGGCTGGAAGAGAATCAGTCATTTAATGGCCCAGGCAGCCACCAAAACTGTTTCTGCTTCAGTGCAGCACAGAACAATTGAGCAGCACCTCCAAGGACACAGCAAGGCAGAGCATATCGACTTTCACTGCTCATAGGAGCTGCTGCCATGCTGACAGCAGGGCCATCCCAAATCAGCCTCCCAGGAGCCACACGTGGCCTTGCTGCCATCCCAGAGCAACAGAGCCACCCCCATGAGCCACCTACCCACGCTGGAGGACACAGCCCGGTTCATGATGTCCAGAGCCTCATTAAACTTGTCTTTGATGGAGGGATGTGCCAACACCTGGTCTGAGAACATGGACTTCCAGCCCAGGTACCACTTCGTGATCTCTTCATAGTTGGGGCTGTTACTGAGCCAAGAGCAGAGCACCTGCAAAACACAGGGACATGCCAAAGGCAGCACAGGTTTGGGGAAAAGAGGCCTCACTGCCACAGAATCCCAGAGTCATTCAGGTTGGAAAAGACCTCTAAGATCATCAAGTCCAACTCTTGACCCATCCCCGCCTTGTCACAAAACCAGAGCACCGAGCGCTACATCCTGTTGTTCCCTGAACACCTCCAGGGATGGGGACTCCACCACCTCCCTGGGCAGCTCCTTCCAAAGCCTGGACACCTTTTCCATGAAGAAATTCCTCCTGATATCCAACTTGAACCTCCCCTGGCTCAGCTTGAGGCCACTTAGTTTATTACTGAGCTGTCACTAAAAGGAAATGCTGTGACAATCTGAGGACAGTCTGCTCTGATGGGTACAGAGCTGTGAGTGGAAATCAGCCCATTTCAGCATCAGGGCAGCAATTCCTGGTCAGGAGTCACTAAAACAGTCCACAGTAACCTCTTTCCTCAGTCCTCATAGCATCTCACCTGCAGCCACTTTGGGAAGAAGTGTTTCTCCAGCAGCCCAACAAGGCTGGAGACAGAAATCATCCCCTCCCAGTCGATCACCCAGTAAAAGGCATCCATGTGCTGCTGGTGAGGATTGATGATGAGCTCGTTCAAACACATCCCTGGGAAAGGGGGAGGAGAGTTAGAAAAGAACCTGACTCAGGTTTATCAGTTCCCTGACATCTTTCACTACCAACACACATGATTCGAGGAGCACCTATTTATTGCACTAAGGGACATTGGGGGTTTTTAAACTCTTTGGCTGATCCTGCCACCAAAACAGTGCATTTCCTCCTCCAGTAACTACAGTTTGCTGCCAGAACTCAGAAACTTAAAACCTTTGACTGGTTTTTAGCCTTTGAGACAGTTCACGTTACAAAACTCATGATGTGAAAGCATTAGCACAGACCAAGGAACTCAGGAGCAACAGAGAGACATCTTACAGCTTGGTCCTACCTGACAGCTGTCAGATATTCCTGCTAGTTGAAGAACAGAGGAATGAGATAATTTTATAAAAAGTAAGACAGAAAACACAGAGAATAATCAGAGTGATTCCTGTACTTTTCTAAGCTGTCTGCCTCTTCATGGGACTGGTAGCAGAAAAGAAGAGGGAAGCTTGGTCTAACCTTGCTAATAACATTCTCTGAAGTAACATTGGCACCCACATTAATGAATATCTTTCCTGGGTGTCAGGGGAAAGTGCAACCAGCAGATTCCCAAAATTCAGCACTGTCTGGTTGTCTCACCTAGTTTAGGCACAATGTTTTTGACCATGAAAGCCTCCCATGAGCCAGGAGTGAACACATCCTTCCAGGGCTGAAGGATGAGCTTGGCAGAGGAGTCACTGGGATGCCACTTCTGCAGGGCATTGGCCAGCTTGTTCCTGATAGGAGAGTACAGTGGCTCCAGCCGTGCCTGCATCAGGGGCAGCCAGGGGTGGATCCAGGAGTGGATCGGGACCGTGTCCGTCAGCGGATTCCAGCTTTCAACCTTGAGGTGGAACAAAAAAGATTAAGTAAGTCCATCCATTACCAGCAAGTCTTGTCCAGAAGCACAAGGAGCCGTGATGCAACCTCCAACTCCTCTATCCATCAGTCAGTTGGTGTTTTAGAAGTTCCAGTTGGAATTCAAACACTGGTTCAGAGCATGGCTTCGCTCTACCCATCCCTCTCCTCTCACCTCCTTCTGTAGCTTGGGGAAGATGAGCTGATCCAGAATGTTATCCAGTATCCACACAGGAACAACGTTTACCCAGCTATCCAAGAAATCCACCATGGATCCACAGTTCCTTGGCTGCCACCGTGCCACGATGTTTCTGACATATGGCATCCAGATCTCCCACATCAGTCTGGGAAAAAAACCCAAACAATTAAATCAAAGTGAAGCTCAAAGGTATAACCCAGGCCTAAATAAATCAAATATGAACTGTTAGTTAAAGCTGCTTCTCTTCTGTAGCTGGCAGCTGGATTTTAACAGGTACAGCAAGAAAATTGTAAGGAAAGCTCCTTTATGTCTGCTCTTTTCTGTCCCTGAGGAAACAGCATGTGAAGATGCTGCACAAAGTACAATTCATTTGCTCTTTACCTGTGGAAAGCATCCGTCGACAGGTCCTGCCCACTGTGGGATAACAGCTGGTCATTTTCCAGAAGGCTCTTCCACTTGGCTATGATCTCTGTGCCATAGGAACAGTCCTGGGAATGATAAGGCACTCGGGGTCAAGGTCTTTATCTTTTTCCATTAATTTCAGCTGGGACCTGCACAGAGCAGGCTGATGGTGTGCTGGGCTACAGCCACCATTCTCACCCCTCACAGGGCCAGCCTATCTTACCCATCCCAGCCTAAATGGCATTGAGACTAGACTGAGCATCTGTGATACCTGACAGACAGACCTCTCCTACTTTTGCTAAAAAACAACTGGAGACTTTTTTTTCACCTACTTTTTCTTTCCAACGCTCATAAAAGGGATTGATTTTAACCTTACAAACTCCTCAGCAAATGTTTGAGAGGGGGCACAGAGGAGGGTTTGGTTTTGTTTCTTTTCTTTCTCTCCAGACTGATCAGGACTTTAGAATCACAGAACCCCAGACTGGTTTGGGTTGGAAAGGACCTTAAAGCTCATCTCCTTCCACCATTCTACCATGGGCAGGGACACCTCCCACTAGACCAGGACACTTAAGACAAAGTAGAAAAGACTGCTGAAGCCATCAAGTGAGAACTGCAGATAACCCAACACACACCTTGAGGGGATCCCAGTTCTTGAAATAATCCTTCATGAGAGGATAAACTATGGCCACTGCCAGGTCCACCCTGTCTGACATTCTGTACTCCTCGTAGTACTTGTCCTGAAGTGTCTCAAAAATCTTTGCACACTCATCCAAGGTCAGAGGGTTTTCACAGCCGGGCTGCATCCGCCTCTCACACTCCTCCACCATGTCCAGCACCTTGCTGAGGTTGCTGATGGCCTTCTCCTCGTGCGAGAGCACCTCGGACATCTTCTGGATCTCGTGGCTCAGGTTGACCACCATGTCCCTCTCGTACTGCAGCTGCCGGTCGTTCTGGATGATCTCCTGCTCCGTGATGTCGATCAGCAGCTGCAGGTTGTGCTCCAGCTCAGGCAGGGCGAACCCCTGGGGCTTGGAGTCCTTGCCCAGGGGCTGCTGGGGGCTGTCATCTGGGATGTTGTGCTTGTGGCTGATCTGGCTGTAGCTGTAATAAACCTTCTGCTCCCGGCCTGTCATGTCTATAACCTGCCAACAGACAAGGACAAACAGGTCTTAAATAAAATTGTATCTCAGAATCACAGGATCACTGAGGTTGGAAAAGATCCCCAAGATCATCGAGTCCAACCTTTGACCCATCCCCACCTTGTCAACTAGACCAGAGCACTGAGTGCCACATCCAGTTGCTTTCTGAACACATTTAAAAGGAGGAGGTAATCCCTGACTCCATATTAAAATCTTAATTACTCCAGGAGGCTGCTAATACACACTGTATCTCCAGGGGGGGATTGCCTCCACAATGGCCTTCTCCAGACGTGAGGAGTTAGAATGAATAAGGGACAATCTGGAATCAGAGCTGGAAAAGTCTCCTCCATCTCATCTCAGTTTCACTGAGTAATTCTACAAGCAGTGATCATGCCATTAGTATTCTATTAGTACTCAGGTACTTCTATACCTTTTTTAAAGACACTGTAATTTTAGATTAATAATTTTACTAAGTACACACCAGACAAATCCCTTACTGTCCCCTTGAGGTAGAAGAAGGTTCAAACCATGTGTTTAATTGCATAATCCCAAAAAGGACAACTGTGCTTTCAGAAGTGGGTGAGTGTTGATCTATGACTAATGTGAAACAATTAAACAATTTGCAATTCAAAAAAACCAAACCCACCCACATTTAATCTAATTGGCATGTTTTAAACCAAACCTGATGTTCAGGTGACACAGGGGGCTATTACATGGTTCAGTGATGAGTCCAAAAGGCTGCACAGGCAGCTCCTAGAACTGGCTTTACCAAGGTTACTGGTGGCTAAAATGCACCCGTGACACCAAAGTGGACAAAGTGTTTCTCAGAGGTGTCACCTCTCAGGTATCAGCCTTACCTTGACCTGGGACAGCTCCTTCTGAGGGGCTGCAAGCTGCTTGTTGATCCTGCCCTTGGCTTTCAGCTCTTCCACTGTCTTATAGCTGTACTTGGGCTTCTTCTTGCCTCCGTTCGGGTCCTTCCGCCACTGACTGAGCTCCTTCTGAAATTCCTGAACAAAACAACAGGAAATTGTGGGAGCTGCTCTTTGCCGTGCCCCGAATCTGCCTCTTTCTACAGGACAATAACCATCAGATCAATGAGGAATTCTGTACAGAAAATAACTGGGAAGTGGTGAAGCTGAGTGCCAAAGCACCACAGATGCTGTGGGTCAGTCACCCACCCTATGGCCTGTGCTTACAGGGTGTTTGTGGTCTTTTTTTAAATTTAAATAAAAGACAAAGACTATTTACCTGGGGGGACTTTTTGTAGGTGGGATTCTGAGACAAAAACCAACAAAAAACATTACAGTGACATGAAAAATCTGTCTAAATTAAATCAACATGCTCAATCTTTGGCTTCTTACCTAAAACGAGCCCAAACAGTTTTCTCTGACACAAAAACTAACAAGAGAACTGAAGTTTGTACACACAGCACAGCACGGAAACAGATACAGAAGAATCACACCAATACCTCCTCAGCTTCCTCTTCTGAGTCCACCACAGGGAAGTCCTGCAGGGACTGAGTGGTCCTCTCAGAGCCATAGGCCCCCACGGCACCTTTGCCTTTCCTCTGCTTGGCCTCGATGGGATTGATGATGCCTGGAAGGATGGAGAGGGGTCAGGAGGAGCAGTTTGTGTGTTGGGGGAGCACAACAGCCAGGTTTTCCCTACCAGTTACCAGAATAGCACCAAGCCCCTCGTTGGTACTCTGCCCCCAGCACTGGGTACTTCCACCACCTCACTAATTTCCTATAAAATCACTTAATCCCAGCACACACCAAAATGCCAAAGCCCAGTATTATTCCCATCCACATTTCACTGCCTTTTTATTCTGCCAAATAAAATAACATTTCTTTTTCTGTGAGGAGTTTTATATCCTTTGGAATTTATATCCCAATTTTTGTTCAATATTTTCTCTCTTGCAAAATACCAAGAGGAATAAATGACCACGGGCCAATTTTAACACGCCTGACTCTCACCACAGGACCTTAATCATTTACAAGAGAGGCAGGAAAATAACAATGAAGTTTATGCCACCTTGGGCTGGCATTTCTTTAAGGAATCCATTCTCTTCTCCACATCACCAGTTAACAATAAACAACCAAACACACTGACAGTACCTTGAGCATTCTTCCCAAGACCTCTTCCAGGGACATATCCCATCTTCTGGAGAAGCTTCTGCCCAATTCCCTTAGTGTGTCTCTCCCAGCTGCCAAAATCCATGAAAGATTTGGTGCCCCCTACAAAGCCTTTCTGGCTGGGCTTGAAATTTCCTCCCTGTTAAAACACAACACAAACCCCACAGCCTTGAAGCATTGCAATAACCAAGTTGTGTAGAATTTTCCTCAAAAGGCTCTTCCCAGAAGTGATTCCCTTGTCCCCACAGTGCCCAGCTCACTGGGACCTCACTTGTGCATCCAGGAAAGCTGCCTGACACCTAAGGAGCTTCCTGAAATTCCTCAGATGGAAGAGAAACATCCTGACAAGCTCAAACCGACAACCTGACATTTCTCAGTCTCCACCACCAGCTTTAGCTGAACCTGATTCCTGATTTTTTCTGTTTTTAACTGAAAATAAGAGTTTGATTTTTAATCTGTGACATTGCTGGATTTGTCTGTTCTGTGAGATTAAAAAAATAGGTCTCCAAAAGGAAGCAAACCATGGGAGTTCTTCTCCTTAAACCTCCACTGACCAAAGGGAATATTAAGGACAATGAAAGGAGTGATTCCCAAGGACACACAGTGATCCATCATTAGATCAATGATTTATTATTATGGTTGCTATTTTATCAATTATACAAAAGCCAGAGAAAATACCTCCCTTAATGACACATTTGGGTTTCTGGTTTAATTATTTCCCCCTTTTTTAGTCCTCTGTTGTAGTTTCACTGCTTTGGCTACAGTTTCACAAACACATTAGTTACACAGGTCAGAAAGTTTCCTGGAGAGCTCACTGTTTTCAACTTCTTGGGCACGAACTCCTTGGGGATCTCCTCCTGCTTCCCAGGTTTCTCATCCTCATCCGAGTCCTCGTCTGACTGTTCCTCGGCCGCCGCCTTCCTGAGCCCGGCGCTGACAAAGCTCACGGGGGCGGAGTAATCCCTGGAGCTGAGAAACACGCCGTCAGGGAATGCTGCTCCAGAGCACCTTCCTGGGGGAGCCTGGGGGCTGCTGTGCCTTACACCCGCCCAAAATGAGATATTAAAGATGGTCCAGCTGTTTGACGCTGGTTGTGCCCCTCCATCTTCCCGGACTGCAGGGACGGGGAGCAAAGGGGAAGTCCCGCAGGTGAGGGGTCCCAAAGGCAGCCCCGGGCCAGGCTGGGCTGCTCAGGGGGGTGTCCACAGCATGGGTATCCTCAGGGAACGGGGAAATCTTCACGGAAAGGAGAAAGCTCTAGGGAACGGATGAATACCCAGGGAACGGGAGGAACCCAAAAGGAATGGGAGGAGCTCCCCAGGAAGGAGAAACCTGTAGGGCACGGGGGGAGCTGCCCGGCCCGGGGCAGCCCCAGGGGCGGCACAGCCCGGCCCGGCCCCGCTCCCGCCCGTACCGCTTCCCGCCGAAGCTCGGCCGCTCCTCGTCCGAGTCGCGCTCGGCCCACACGCCGTAGGTCGCCTCCTCCTTGGTCTGGCGGTGCCGCTGCCGGTGCGGGTTAAACTCGTTCTGTAGGTCCCAGTCCGACACCTCGAAACTCTCCATCTCCACGCCATCGGCACCGTCCGTGCCGTACAGGTGCGACATCGACATCGCGGCAGCGCCGGGGCCTCCGGCCCGGGGACCCCCAGCCCCTCAGGGACCCCCGGCTGGACACCCCCGGCCCCTCCGGGACCGCTCAGGGATCCCCAGACACCTCAGGACCCTCTGGGACCGCTCAGGAATCCCCAGACAACTCCGGCCGCGCCGCTAAACCGGATGAGCCCCGTTCACTTCCGGTTTACTTCCGGTTACGCTCAAACCCCGCTACAAACCATAGAGTCGCAAGGGGCGGAGCGGCCGCCCCTGGGCCGCGCCCGCAGCGCCACTCTACGGCCCGGCGGAGTATGGGGGGAGGCGGAGCCCGCGCTGTTAAATATCAAATATTGAAACATTAAATATTAAATATCAAACCAACACTTTAATGGTGTCCGACACCGGGGGCAGGGGGGCCATATATTAACTCTGCAATAGCCTCTGCAGGGTCAGGGAGGGGGTGTGGGGAGGGGGGCACGCGCACCACAAAGTCTCTGCAGGGCCAGGGGGCTATTCCTGACCCTGGGAATTGGGAACAGCAGGGACAGGGCGGCTGTTCTTGAGCCTGGGAACAGGGAATGGCAGGACCAGGATGGCTGATCCTAACCGTGGGAATAAGGAACAACAGACCCAGGATGACTGTTCACAACCCTGGAATTAGGGAACAGCGCGGCCAAGATGGCTGTTCCCAACCCCAGAAAGACAGAACAGCAGGGCTGGGAGGGCTGTTCCCCACCCTGGGAATAGGGAACAGCAGGACCAGGGTGGCTGTTCCCAATCCAAGGAATACAGAACAGCAGGACCAGGGTGGCTGTTCCTGACCCCAGGAATACAGAACAGCAGTGCTGGGAGGGCTGTTCCTGGGAACGGTGTCACAAGACACTGACACGAGATGTAATGAGTCCTCTGGCCACAGCACACATGGAACCTCCTCCCGCCACCCCCGAGCCTGGATTCCCACAGCTGCTTTTCCCACGGAGCGCTGGGAGAGGCCGAGGACATTCCCGCCGTGGAGCACATTTGGCCTTTGCAAATAAATGCAAATACATTCCTGGAGCGCAGTCATTTGGCAACAGTAGGAGCAAGCAATATGCTTGGAGAACCGATTTCCACGGGCCAGTGCAAACTCTTCCTTCTTGGGCAACAAAAGGCCATTTGCAACGTTCTGGAAGAGAGAAACACAGGGAGAACACAGGGCAGGATCCCCTCAGGGGCAGGATCTCCTCGGGAACAGGATCCCCTCAGGAGCAGGATCCCACACACCAGCACAGCAGTGCCCAACAGATGGTTTAAAGCCCCTGTGACACAAAACAGTCAGCAAGGAACCAAATCCCAGCCCAGGACATTGGACACACAATTCCTGATCCTCTCTCAGCACTTCTGATCTTCTTCTAGCTGAACCGACTGCTTTTACACAGGAATTAGTTTTCAAAGGGTCAGTTTTAGTACCAAAAATGACATTTTATGCCTTAGCGCAGAGGGCAGAGAGGGGAAAACATCCAACACGTCAACAGTTGTCCCTCGAGCAGAAGCCCAAGGCAGCAGCTTTGTTTCCCATCATGTTTCCCTTTGTTTTCTATCCCCTTCCTCAGGTCCATGGCACGTCCTTGGAGGCAGCTGGGGAGCAGCTCAGCCCATCCACGCATTCCACATCCCATCCCTGTGCTGCCTGTGGGGACAGGCAGCAATGACCCTCCCAAGTGGCTGATTCTCATTTGGCTGCTTTAAGCCTGTTCCCAGAGCTCAGGAAGAGAAATCCTGACAAATGGTCCCACACAGCAGCATTGTTCGGAAGATCTAAGGCAACTGTGAATGATCTTTGGCATCAGAAGCGTGCCTGGAGCCCTGGCTAATCCACAGAAATTACACAAACCAAATGCCAATCCTGGAGCAATGTGGGCAGATTCGCCCAAATCCCAAAATTAAAAGGGTCTTACCTGGAAATCATTAATTTTCTTAGTGAGAAGATGATGTGTTCTGAGTGACCTGAAATAACCCAGAAACAGAAGGGTCAGCTCTGAGCCACCATCTGCATTCCCCAGGAAAGGGAGCAGGGATGTTCCCTGAGGGAAGGGAGCAGGGACATTCCCAGCCTGCAGACACCCCTAGGAGGGAGCCAGGGACCAGACACCCCAGATTAACCCAAAAACACAATCCCCCAGGGCACACCAGACTCTTACCTGCAGGTGACCTTTCAGATTGGCCGGTGTTTTATAATCCCCCTTTAAAACCTGTGGGAAAGAGAACCTGGAGTGACCCTTCTGGGGCAGTGGCTCCATGAGCATCAGCCAATCCACCCCATTCCATGTGTCCCATGTCCCAGGACACCTGAACCAGGTGGAACACCCTGATGGGAGTTTGATCTACATCATGGGGTCATATTGGGGCAAAAACGGGAGGTTTCATCCTTTTTGACTATAAAGACAGGGAGCAGGGAATCAACACAAGCAATTCCCAACTCCCCCCTTAGTCTGAGAGGGGACAACGTTTTGGTTTTACCACCATGCCAGTTCTCCAAATTCATCCAAAAAACACTGAAAGGTCCATATCAGAGACCCAGAGTGGCCCTGACCCTGCCCAGGGCAGATGTTCCCCCAAACCACCCGTGTCCCAGGACAGCTCTCAGCAGGCACTGAGGAGCTGTGAAAGACCAGAGTGCTGGGAGTACAGAGCAGTTCCAGGGAAGCTCTTCCCACCTCCCAGTCAGTGCTGCCACTTCCCTGCCTGCCTACAGCACCCTGGGGACTGGTCCCACCCTGCTCCCACCACCATGACAAAGGACACCTCATCCATGGGCACTGTCCCAGGGAACTGGGGGGCTGCGGAGCCCCACCCCAAACATGGGAACGTCCCTCTGCCTCCTAACTGCTGGCTGGGACTGCAGCTCCTTCCTTCTCGTTCTGCTCCAGGGACATGAGTCAATATTCAAAAAAAAAAAGGAAAAATCTGTTGTTTTGCCCAAAGGCATTCCAAGCCTCCACGTGTGTTCCTGGTGAGAGCACGGGAGTGGCTGTGGAGCTACACACAGACACAGCACAGCCAGAATGTTGTTCCAGGTCCCAGCCAGGGTACAGTGCCCAAAGAAACCATCAGCACACACCAGGAACGCCCACACCGGGGTTCAGGAGCAGGGCTGGGTCAGGGAGGGTCTCCCTGGGTCTCCCTGGGTCAGGGAGGATCTGCCACAGCACCACAAACAAACACAACCACAAGACCATCGGCAGCACCGTCAGCATGAGCCCCATCAGGCTCCACCCGGAACACGCAGCTGGGCTGGAACCACCTTGGGGGAGCTGTCAGCCATTCCCAGCCTTCCCAAGGAGAAGACTGCACCTCAAATCCTGTGTCCAGGTCTGGACCCCTCACTCCAAGACAGACAATGAGGTGCTGGAGCGTGTTCAGAAAAGGGAACGGAGCTGAGAAAGTGTATGGAGCATCAGGAGTGGCTGAGGGAGCTGGAGGATTTCAGCCTGGAGAAAAGGAGGCTCAGGGGGGACCTTCCCTGACAGGAGAGGGAGTCGGGGGTGGTCGGGCTCTGCTCCCAGGGAGCAAGAACAGGACAAGAGGAAATGGCCTCAAGCTGTGTCAGGGGAGGCTGGACATCAGGAGGAATGTTTTCACAGAAAGAGTTGTCAGCCATTAAAAGGAGATGCCCAGGGAAGTGATGGAGTCCCCATCCCTGGAGGTGTCCATGTGTCACTCAGTGCTTTGGGCTGGGTGACAAGGTGGGGATCAGGCACAGGTTGGACTCAGTGGTCTTGGAGGTCTTTTCCAGCCTCAGTGATTCTGGGATTCTGTGTCCGTTTCCCCCCTGCTCTCTCCTGACCTGGCTCAGCAGCCTCCTCTGCTCCAGGGGCTCTGTGAGCCCCCCGGCTCTGCTCCCCCATGGCGGTGACACTCACCCTGTGTGTGTTGTTGACAACCAGGGGGTCGGGGTGGCCGTAGTTGGGGGGGTTGGCGTAGGGGTCGTAGCCCAGCCTGGCGAGCATCGGGGCGATGTGGGCCATGTCCTGCAGCACATCCCCCGGGATGTGCCCGATCCATTTAGATAACGCATCCATGTTCACCGGCTTGATCACCTGGTCTGTGGATCTTTCTATCCTGGGGAAAAAAAAGAAAAAAACCAAAAGACACTAAAGTTGGATTTCACACACGTGCTGGGGTCACACAGAACAGCCTCAGCCAGGCTGTCACCTCAACATCAAAACATGGAATGGTTTGGGTAGGAAGGAACTTTAGAGCTCATCCTATCCCACCCCTCTGCCATGGGCAGGGACATCTTCCACTAGACCAACTCCCATCCAACCTGGCCTGGAACACTTCCAGGGATGTGGCAGCCACAGCTTCTCTGGGCACCCTGTGCCAGGGCCTCACCACCCTCACAGGGAAGAATTTCTTCCATAAATCTGACCTAAATTTCCCCCATTTCAAATTGAAGCCATTCGCCCCTGTCCTGTCACTGCAGTTCCTGATGAACAGTCCCTCACTGGCTTCCCTCCAGATCCTGGGAGGTGCTGTGAGGTCTCTACACAACCTTCTCCAGGTTGAACAGCCCCAACATGTCCCTTCCACTCCCAGGACACAAACACTCATCACCTGCCAGGCATACTTGAGGCAGAGCCAGGGTGAGGCACAGAGGGGCAGTCCCAGGGCAACCCTGTCCCCTCATAGCCCTGATCTGGGGGAGCACACTCGACAGGGGGTTGCACAGCCCCAGAGGTGGGGTCCCCCTGTATAGAATCATGGAATCATTAAGGCTGGAAAAGCCCTCTAAGATCATCAATTCCAGCTGTTCCCCCATCATTGCCAAAGCCACCACTAACCGTGCCCCTAAGCACCACATCCACGTGTCTTTGAACACTTTCAGCAAGAGTGACTCCACCACCGCCCTGGGAAACTTGTTCCAATGCCTGACCACTCTATCCATGAAGAAATTTTCCAAAAGATTCAATCTAAATCCCTCCCAGCACAACTTGAGACTGCTTCCTCTTGTCCTAGAGGGGGGATTCATCCTTCACTGGGGTCAGGGTGTTACCAGGACACCTCTCCTTACTACAGGAAAATAATGTAAGATGTGTGGGTTGTAGCACAGATGCACCACAGGGCCTATAGGGAAATCCAAAATCTTATCTGTTTAAGGAATCTGGGCAAG